TGTCGTCGTGCTTGCTCTCAGAGTGAAGCCTGGGCGTAGCGGCAGCTGCGTGGACCTCAGTGGCGCCCATGAAGGTGGATTTTTCGAACAGCGACAAATTCTTTACGAAGGAAGTGAACGTGCCCAAGCCAGAGACAAGGGCGACCGCCAATAATCTGCGCAAGAAGCCGGAGGCCGAGGATTCATATGCGGTCTAGTATTTGGACGGCATTGATTTCACAGCAGGAGGATATCTATATATATATATACTTGGGGGGCAACGGTCCTCTGAAGCAGTGCATTGCGCGCGTCGAGTCAGGCATGGGCGAGGGCGACCAGTTCATCGGGATCTACGTGACGGGCAAGCGCTACGCCTACTGCTTGGGGCGATGTCCGAAGCTGGGCGCTGGCGAGTTCCAGAGCTTCAACGTGTGCCCGTCGATCAGGACGTACATCCGGTTTCATATCATCCTGTCAACGAAGATAACATTGTCATCGCTGAGGCGAGGGAACAGGCCGATGACCAAACCAGGTAAACATGTGATGTCTTGATGCATGGGATCGCTGGGTTGGCCAACAACATATTCTTCAATTTTCTGCCAACTTGCTATCGCATGTTTGCGAATTCGTTTGAGCAGAGAGTTTGCTCTTACTGTGTGTGAGAGTTTGTACAGTAGGGATGTCTTCGGAAAGGGCTCCTGCTCTGCTCTCGTTCGCTTGTGCTTGTATATCCCTATCACGCGTAATGTTCTGGCTCGCAGCTAGGGGGGAGGCCGGACGCGCAAATTCCAACCACGCGTGGGCTGCGGAAGAAAGATTGTTTTTTCTTCTTCAGTCCTCGCCCTCCCTCGCTTCTTGTTTCTCGCTTCTCGCTTCCAATCGTCCTCTCCCTTTTCCCTCCTCCTTCCCCGCGCGTTTCGCCTTCCCCTTCCTTCCTCCCCATCTTTGGTGATCGCCCGCATGGTGGGTGGCGGTGCGTGCTCCAACACCAATTCAGATGAGGATCGGTCCGCGCGCGCGAGAGCTGGCAGCGACCCGCACAGCCCCGCGTATAATTGCGTATTCGCTCGGGGATGTTGTGTGCTGGGAGGGGATGGGGGGGGCGTGGTCGAGGAGCGGAATAGAGGGGGAGGTGGAGGAAGGGGTGAATCGTGAGGGTGCTGCTGCTGCTACCGATGACGCCGATGACGGGGATGATCATGATGATGATCATGGTGGAAATTCCCCCCCCCTTTTCCTCCGGAGCCCAGGTTCCCCCCCCCCTCCGAGAATCCCCCCCCCCCCCCCTGCTCGAACCCTCCACCTCCCCCCCGCTCTTTTTTTGTCCCAGGCAACCCTCCCCCCTTTCCCCCCCCCACCCCCCCCGTTCCGGAAAACCGGGGGGGTTTCTACTGGTTCGAACCCCCCCCCTTCAGACACCGGGGGGGGGGTCACTAGTGGTTCGAACCCTCCCCCCTTCCCTACTCACCGCCGGCAGACGGTTCCTGGGTCCCCACCACGGTCCTCACCACCACCGTCACTATTGTCCCCAGCACCACCGTCCCCACCACCACAGTCCCAGTGTCCTCACTGTTCACTGTTCCCAGTATTGTCCCCGCTGTCTCCACCAGTGCCCCCACCACTGTCGCACTGTCCCGACCGTCCCCACCACTGTTCCCACCACGGTCCCACTTTCCCCACTGCCCCCGATGTCCCCACCACTGTCCCACCGTCCCCGCTGTCCCCGCCACCGTCCCACTGTCCCCACTCTCCCCGCCGCTGTCCCACTGAGCTGCCCCACTGTTCCCACCACTGTCCCCACTGTCCCCACCACTTGTTCCCACTGTACCACTGTCCCACTGTCCCCACCACCGTCCTCATCACCGCCATCACCGCTGTCCCCAGCACCACCGTCCCCACCACTGTCCACACTGTCCCCACCACTGTCCCACTGTCCCCACACCACTGTCCCCACCGCCACCGGCCCCACCACTGTCCCCGCATCCCACTGTTCCCACCATTGTCCCCACGGTCCCCACCACTGCCCCCACCAGTGTCTCATTGTCCCCACTGTCCCCACCAGTGTCCCCACCACGGTTCCACTCTCCCCATTGTCCCCACTGTCCCCACTACTGTCACATTGTCCCCACTGTCCCCACCACTGTCCCACTGTCCCCATTGTCCCCGCCGCGGTCCCACTGTGCTGTACCACTGTCTCCGCTGTTCCCACCATTGTCCCACTGTCCCCACTGTCCCCACCACTCTCCCTACTGTACCACTGTTCCATTGTCCTACCACCGTCCTCACCACCACCCTCACCAATGTCCCCACCGCTACCATCCCGCTGTCCCCACTGCCCACTGTCCCCTCACCACTTTCCCCACCACCACAGTCCCCACCACTGTCCCACTGTCCCCGCCACTGGTCCACTGTCCCCCCAACACTGCCCCCACCACCACCGTCCCCACCATTGTCCCAATGTCCCCATCACTGTCGCACTGTCCCGAGGAGCGGGAATCATTTGCTGGCGAGGAATGGGGGGGGTTCGAACCAGTAGTGACGCCCCCCCCTTTCATGATGGACTGGGGGGGGGAGAAGGGGTGTTTGAACCGGTAGTGGCCCCTCCCGGTTTTTGAAACGGGGGGGGGGGGGACGGGCTGGGAACCCCCAGTGGCCCCTCCAGGTTTTCCGCCAGCAGCGGTAGAACACGCTCTTTCTGATGTTGGGGATTTTGGTGATGGTGATGTTGGCGGTGGTGATGGTGCTGATGGTGATGGCGAGAATGACGGGTATGTTTAGGCTCATGAGGGTGTAAGTGATGATGGTGATGATGTTGATGGTAATAGGGGGATGATGATGGTGATTATAGGGATGATGTTCATGATGCTAATCATGCTCATGATGATGAAGATGGTACTGATGAGAATGGTGATGTTGATGGTGATGATGAGGACTGCGCCGAAGATGATGAGGATGGTGAGGATGAGGCTCTGATGATGACCATGATGACAACGCTGATAACAATGCTTATTATTATGACGTGGACTACGGTGATGATGATGACGGTCGTGGAGTCGGTTGTGGTGATGATGACGATGAGGATGATGAACAAACATGTGTCGGTTCTGATGATGATGATGATGATGATGATGATGATGATGATGTTCGTGACGATGGTGATGATGATGATTTTGAGGGTGACGATGGTGATGCCGATGGTGGTGACGATGGTGGTGATATTGTTGCTGACTATGGCGATGATGGTGATGATGGCGATGTTGCTGGTGATGGTGATGATGATGGTGATGGCGATGCTGCTGGTGGTGATGATGATGATGATGCTCATGATGATGTTGCTGAGGATGAGGATGAGGGCAAGGATGAGGCAGAGGATGAAGCTCATGATGATGCTAATGATGATGATGATGATGATGATGATGATGATGATGATGATGATGATGATGATGACGATGATGATGATGATGATGACGGTGATGGTGACGTTGATTGTAATGATGCTGATGGTGATGCTGATGCTGATGATGCTGATGTTGAGGCGATGCCGATGTTACCTCTGATGTTGATGCTGATGCTGATGCTGGTCATGCTGATGATGCTGCTGCTGATGATGATGTCAATGACGACGATCATGATGTTGATAGTGATAGTGATAGTGATAGTGATGCTGATGATGCTGCTGCTGCTGATGATGATGATGATGATGACGATGATGATGATGATGACGGTGATGGTGACGTTGATTGTAATGATGCTGATGGTGATGCTGATGCTGATGATGCTGATGTTGAGGCGATGCCGATGTTACCTCTGATGTTGATGCTGATGCTGATGCTGGTCATGCTGATGATGCTGCTGCTGATGATGATGTCAATGACGACGATCATGATGTTGATAGTGATAGTGATAGTGATAGTGATGCTGATGATGCTGCTGCTGCTGCTGCTGCTGATGATGATGATGATGATGATGATGATGGGGTCGACGATGATGACGACGATGCTGAGGGTGATGCTGCTACTGATGATGATGATGATGATGCTGATCTTGCTGGGTATGATGGTTATTTTGACGATGCTTCTGCTTATGATGATTATGGTGATGATGATGATGATTCTGATGATGGTGGTGGTGGTTGCGACGATGGTAAGGATGACGATGCTGCTGCTGCTGCTGATGATGATGCTGCTGATGCTGATGCTGATGCTGATGCTGATGATGATGATGGTGGTGGTGGTGGTGATGATGATGATGATGATGATGATGATGATGATGATGATGATGATGATGATGATGATGCTGACGACGGTGGTGATGGTGGTGGTGATGGTGGTGGTGATTGTGGTGGTGGTGACTTCCAGCAATATCAATGATGATGATGAGGAGGAGGAGGAGGAGGAAGAGGATGAGAAGGACGAGATGGAGGAGGAGGAGGAGCAGGAGGAGGAGGAGGAGGGGGACTACTCTACGTTTTGGTATGAGCGTGTGGGGGGCCCTACTCCGCAAATCGACCCCCGTCGCGGGCAAACATCGCCGCGCGACGGCATGGCTTACACCACGTATATTGCACCACATGCGCTGCACACCACAGCTTGCACCACATAGTTTTCATCAGTGATACAGACAAGAATACACAGGATGCAACGCATCTAGCGTACTGGATAGTTTGTTCCATGTGAGTTGCACCACATAGTTTGTGCCCCATAGGCTGGGCCACATCGTTCGCACCACACCTATTACACATCCAGGGTGCAGTGATGCACTGTCTGGTGTCATGCTGGCAAACGTGTGTGTGTGTACGTATATATCAGTAAACGGTAGAGGGGTAGAGAAGGTCGACAGAGATGCTCATCAACGGGTTCCTGAGGGCAGCTGTGTACCCCCGCACCACCGCTCCTCGGGGATTCTCCTCCTGCTTCTACTGCTGCTCCCTTTCGTGCCCCTTATCTCCTCTGGAGGGAGGAGGGGAACGAGTCCAGGGGCGGTTTTGGTACGGATGTGCCCTGTCGGCGCGCTCAGGACAG